GCCAGGCGGTGCGCGGACCCAGCCCTGAGGGATGGTGAGAGGGAGGAGCTCTCTGATGGGCGGTGCCCTCCCCTGTGTCCACAGCCAGTGTGCCTGGACCTGCCGGGGGCTGCCCAGGGCTCTGCAGGGCCTGACCTCCCTGCACATGAACCCTCCCTGGGCACTGGCCCAGACCCCTCCCTCCGGCAGGTCCAGGGGAGAGATGGCTTCCTGGGATGCAGGTCACAGGCCGGCTGGGTCTCTCATGGTCCACAGAAGGCTGGGGATCGTGACCACATCCTGCCAGGCCCCAGGCATTGCCTGGTGACACCTGCCAGGGTGCCTGGTGCCCACTCGAGATACAAGCTGCTCCCAGGGTGCTGCTACCAGGCACTGACCACACCCTGAGTGGGACTCCTGATTACAGAGGCCGGCCATCTGGGAAGGGAGCGCGGAAGCACACGTGTGTGCATGGGGCGGGGGGGGGCAGGTGGGCGGGAGACCAGGTGACGTCTGCAGGAAGTCCCCCACAGCTCTTTCTCTCGGTCAGTCGGTCGGTTGGTCGGTCGGTCGGTCGGGTGAAGCCCACCCTCCTGAACATCTTGAGGAAGGGCTGGCGACAGGTGAACCTGAGGTCTTGCACTTCCTCCAGCATCTTTATTTTCCAAGGCAGTCGTCAGGCTGTGGGATTCCGGCTGCTGTCACCGCAAAGCATCTGCTGCCTCCCTTTCCAGCCCCTTTGCTGCTGACAAGCTGGAAGCCATTTTGATTCTTACTCTTCGGGTGGAAACTGCTCTCTCAAGGATCGTTGGTTCCTCTCCTCGTCACCAGTACCTGACAATTCCCCAGGGAGGTGCCCGGGGTGAGTCTCCTGCCACCCCCTGGGTAAGATGGGGCTGTCTCAGGATGGAAGCTTGGGTCCACCGCCCTGGGCGCGGCCTTCGGCTTCTGCTCTATGATTCCATCCTGTCTCCTCCCTTCTCTTAGATCTCAGATCTGGTCTAAACACAGCCCCAAAGCTGCCGGGGTCAGGTGCCCATGATCTCCGCCCTCCTGCCCTCCCCAGGCACCCTGGGGGAGACGCTGGTCTTGACTGAGTCCCCTTCTGGGCTGCGGCCTCGTTTTGCCCAAGCAGGGTCTGACCCAGGTGGGCAGCAGCCAGGCAGGAGCACCATCTTACTGGTCCCGAACCCAGGCACTTGGGGCTGCGCCCCCGGCCTCCAGCTCCCATCTGAGCAGCTCTGGGCCCAAGGGCAGAACCATCAGCATGAAGACATGTGCCTAGAAGAGCACTGTGACTTCACACACCAGCCCCGCCCTCCTCCCAAACCTGCATTTGAGTTGGTTTGTGCTCAACGGGGAGATGGGACCCAGGCACAGGCATCCAAGCAGCCCCACGAGCTGTGCGCCCCTCCCCACCGCAGCCAGTCCCCTGCTCTCCGGGTTCTCCCCGCGGCCCCAGCTGGAACCTACATTCGAGGAGCTGTGACTTCTTAGGAAATGTATCTGGGGTATGGCTCGAGGTGGCACCAGCTAAGGCACCAGGGTCGCTGTGCAGAGCAGCGACTGTCCTGCTCACTCAGACCCCTTGCTGTGAGTCCTGAGTCCAGTGACGCTGTGGAGAACACAGCCCACAGCCCAATTTGTACCATCACTCCGTGGGGGGGGGGAGGCGAGGGGGCTGTAACGCTGCACAGAAAAGGGGCACCAGGAGGGCGGCTGAGGGCACAGCCCCAGGGAACACGACAGCCCTCCTGAAACCAGGCAGCTGGGGTACGGGCTAGGGCCTGACGCCTGGCTGCAGGCCGGGTGTCACCACTGTCCCTCACCCTGGCCTCCACTGGGTCCATGCCCCTCACACGGATGGCTGCTCTGGGGGACAGAATTCTGCCACCTGCAGGATTCAGACTTCCCCGCCCACCACAGTCCCCAACACTCTGATCACTGCTTCTGAACAGTTTCTGGGTGTCCACATACATCTGTCCAAGAGGAGACCCCGCAGGGAGGCAAGGTCTCACGCAGAGGCTTTTGGAAACAATTTCAACCGGGAGACAATGGGGCGGAGAGAGGAAGCCCCCTTCCCGCCCCCCGCCAAGTGGGAGACAGGCTCCAGCCATGCTGAGTGGCTCAGCCAGGCCAGGCTCCCGCTGGAAGCTCACTTCCCACGGTGCCGTGACCACCTCACCTCATAAATGAGGGGTTCAAAGCACAGGTGTCATACCTAAGACTCCCCACCGTGGTCCTCCGGCTGCACGGGCAGCACGTTCCCAGTACACCAGGGGTGGAGGCTTCTAAGAGGGGTTTCCTAGGTCCTGACCCCTCAGCCGGGGTGCATCAGACACACAGGCCTTGTGTGACATAAACGTGTTCCTCCTGTGGGAAGGTTGATGCCCTGATAGCATGGATAACGGAGCACGAGACATCTTGTGAAAGTCACGGTCCAGAAACCGGCGCTCTAGTGAGCGGGACTCTGGGAAGTCACAGGCGGCAGGGTCACAATGTCGGACCCCCAGGCACAGGCCCCTCCACCCACCCACCGTGACTTCTTGGCCCGGGGCCCAGTAGGGGGAAACAGGCCTTGGCAACTTTTTCCCTAAGGTCCCTGGGCCGGGGGAGGGGATGGTTCCTCCCCACACCACCCTAGCCCACGCTGGGCCCGATCCGGCACCGGAATTTGCCTGGAAGTTTCACCACAGGCGCCCTGCTGGGCCGGCCCCAAGGAGCACCAGCAGTCCCGGAGCACATTTAGAAATCTTCCTCAACTGAAGCGTTCTTCTTGCATCATCTTTGGTCAAATATCCTTTGTGCAGAGAAGTTTTATTTACTTTTCCATGCCACTACCGCTGCCACCGCAATGAAGAAACATCAGTAAATGGGAGTCATAAAAACTTGGGACCACCAAGTTGCAAAGATGTATGTTTTCACCTGACAGTGAAACCACAGGTAGACTGTCTAGTTAGGGTGAGAAGTGTACATTGATAGCTTGTGTTTGTTTTTAAAATTAAATTAATCCTGGATAAGAGTTGCATTTTTTGGGGGGGAGTCAGTCCTTGACCACTAGTTCAATACTCTTATTCTGGGTGACCTGTTTCACTAGCAGGCCTGTTACTCTCCATGACGAACTGTGTAAGTGCTTATTATGGAATAAATTGCTTTTCTACATTAAAAAAGTGAGAGTAATTTTAAAAAGGTAGGGATTAAAATGATTTTTTTAAATGTCATAGTCCTCTCTTCCTCCCTACAAAAGCCAGAACTCTGAAGGCACCAGCTCCGCTTCTGAATCCCACCGAGGGGCCCTGACCTGCGAACAGAAACAGGGAGAAACGAATGCAGCCTCCCAGGCCCGCCCCGCTGAGACACTGTGTCCCCTCTGACACTGGCATTCTCCAAGTCTTAAGCCAGAACCAGAAGGTGGCCACCAATCTGCTTCTTGCCTGAAATGGAATTCCACAGTCACCTTCAACCTCCGTTCCCGTTGACCAGCTCTCACGGCGACAGGACAGCAGTTCGACTGGACCCGAGTCAGGCAGCAGCCAGTCCTCAGGCCACCGCTGCTCGGACCCTGAAGACCCCCCCACCAGTCTGTTGAATAAGGCCTAGAAAAGCAGCTGAACCCATGTGTCGTCACAACATGTTATAAAGGTTTCTTGGCAAACAGCTAAGATACACATTGAATCATGATTTAAATGAGGGAAATACAGTCTCATGAATCACTGAAACCACTAAAACTTTACTCAAATGTTTATGCAAAAGGATTTATAAGCATCACTGCCATTCATGGATACGTCTCACTACCGCAAGACCGGTGGCAGGAAACACGCTGGCTTAGCGATGGTTTCTAAGATGACAATTCACAAGCTTTAGAGGTCGCCCTTGAAGGGCTGCTGACAGCTCCTAAACTTATCAGGGACACCCTGAGGCTAGCGGTTTGGTCCCTCCCAGAACCCAAAGGAAAGGGAATGTGCCCGGGACTGGTCCTCTCAAGGCTCCCATGGCTTCCCGTCCAGGCCTGTCTGCCCCATCGAGAAGCCAGAACAGCAGTCCCTCCCGGATAGGAGACACGCCCCCCCACCCCCGCCTGCAGGGCAGTTGCATGGGGGTCGGGCCCACGCTCCATGGGTCCCTGTGTTCACGCCAAAGTTCTAGGGCAGTTTCATACAGCTACGAAGCCTACTGAAATGCACCCTCCGGGGACAAGACCCTTCTGGGCTGGTCCGTGCTCCACAAGACCTGGCACATGGTCTGAAGCTCCCCGGGGGTGAGGAGAGGGCAGGTCCCCGAAAGGGGCTGCACGGGAGCGCGAGGCCAGCAGAGGAATCTTGTGGGACCTAGGACGAAGCCTCCCTCACGCGACACAGCTCATCGGACAAGATTCCTCATGATGCTGAGGGAGGAGCCTCGGTACCCTGACCCGAAGTGGTTCCAGTGGTTCAGGTAGTGAAAGAGCTGGTACAGCTGGAGGCGCTGCTGGAAGCCAGGGGCCTGGGGGATTTGGCGGTGGTAGGCGGAGTAGAAGTTGCTGCTGAAGCCCCCAAACATGCCAGCAATGGCCAGCTCGTACTCTGAGTGGCCGTAGAAAGAGGCCGGGTCAAAAATGATGGGTCCCGAGGCATCCTCTGCCACGTTTCCTCCCCAGAGGTCTCCGTGGAGCAGGGCTGGGACGATGTCCAGGTCACGGAACAGGTCGGGGATCTTGAGCTGTGGGGGAAACACACCCTCAGCAAAGTGACCAGCAGTGCAGGGGACGCAGGGGCTTTTCCAAGCGTGGCTGCCCGATCTGAGCAGAGCCTGGAGCACAGGTGCCCATGACGCACATGGCCCAGGCTGGGCACAGGGATGCCTCCTGTCCAGACTCAGACCCGTCCAGGCTGCACCGACCTCGGCGCCACCCCGGTGGGGCCAGGGCACACGCGCCCGGGCACCGGGGCACACTCACCTGCAGAGCAGACCAGAGCTCACGGGCCTCCCTGTCCCCAGACCCCCGCTCCAGCATGTCTATCTGGGGCTGGATGCGCTGCCGGGCGTAGAACGTGACCCAGTCCTGCTGCCAGTCGTTCACCTGTGCGGGCGACACGGAGCTCAGAGGAAACCACCAGAGCTGAAGGAGGGGCCCGGGGAAAGGTCAGCCATCAGAGACGCCACTGCAGGGATGTATGAGGAGTGGAACTGGCCGGGCAGCCTGGTCTCAAGGACGTGCCGGGACCTTAGATCCCACCCCAAGAGCAGCAGGGTCCACTATGAAGAGCCCAAGGACATTTTCTCTCAATCCAGTCACTCAGACACAGAGCCAGGGCAGGCAGCCCTCCCTGACCCCATGGCTCATTTCTGACCACCCAGCCTCCACAGAGGACCCTCCTCCTTGGGCCCTCTGAGCACCACCCTCCCAGGGAGGGAGGAGGGGAGGGCTACCACAAGAGAGGATGGCTGGCCTCAGGTGCTGACATCCAGAAGGGAGACAAGACAAGTGCACACAAGAGCAGCACCACACAGGCCACAGCGTGACTCTCACCACACATACACACACGAGCAGTGACCCCAGAGCAGCAGGACCAGGAATCCCAGCTCTCAGCCACTCACTGCCCCAAGCAGGGCCCCAGACAACCTCCTGCAACGTATCAAAATCTGAACGGCATCTCCCCACCCGGTAGATTACTCACTGCCCCCACCTGAGAAGCCACCGGCCTGTCCACGTGGGCGAGTACAGCTCCCCAGGCTGAAACCCCCAGGGCAGCCAACCACAGAATTGTAAAACTCAAAGTCACAGCCCCTTTTCACTGTGCCACCTCTGAGAGTTTCCTATTTAAAATAAAACATTGTCTAACCTTCTATTTTCACCCACCTTGAAATCCAGCACCCTAACCTGCTGGTCCTTCTCTGCTCTTCCGAGCTTACCCAGCACAGGAGGCGGGTGCACCTCATGTCAGCCTCTTAAAATCAACAAAGGGAAAAAGGAGCAAAGGCCTTTTACTGAGTTTCACGGAACAAGGAGGATGGTGTGCTTTCTCTGGCTGTTTCCGAACAGCTGGCCTGACTGGGAAATGGAGGCAAATGCCGGTGTCACTCACCTGGGGGAGGTATCCGCAGCATGTCACCACATCGAACCCAAACTGGTCCACAAATGGCCGCTCCACCCGCTCAGCTCCCTTCCCTTGCAAGTAAAAGGAAACGAGAAAGGTGACCGTCCCGTGCCCCCACAGGCCCGCTCTTGGAGCTCAGAGTAGCTTTGGGGCCTGACCCCAGGGTGCCCTTTCCCACCAGGCGTCCCCACCCAGAGACAAACAAGGGCCCTGGTCTCTACCGACCCTCAGGCCCTGGGAACAGAACCTGTCCCTTCAGACTGAACAGTCCAGACACCCACTCCTTCCCCGGAGAGGCATCAGCGGACGCTCAGAGCCACAACACTGTCCAAAAAAAGAGGGGAAATCCACTGGTGACCCACCAGGAAAGGACGGTTCTCAGTGGCCGGTCCCGCACCTGCCGCCTGTGGGAGACAGACTGCTGTGCTGGCGCGTGGTCTCATCCTCTGCAGCTCCCCAAGCTCTGAGCGCAGCCTGAAGGACTGGTCCGCAGGGCTCGGGAGGGACAAGGCCTGCCTGTCTGTCTAGCACAGCCGATCCTTGGTCACCTGTTCCCAGTGCGCCAGCTACTCTGGCCAGCAGAGCGGCCACACGGGCTGCACGTGGATTATCAAATGTCAAGGACCCAGACGACACCCTCAGTGCTAGCACCACAGTAAACTCTGAAAAGGTGGGACAGGAGGGCTCCCCTGCCGAGTCTCACGCCTGACTGTTCTCAGAAGAGAAGGCATGGAAAGCCGGGGGAACTTTGGCAGGCTTTCTTCTGAGCGACAGGTCAAAGAAACCGTAATGCGCCGGGGTCTCGAGTTTAGGAAGTGTCTCGTCTTTCACCTGCACTTTCTGCACAGTGCCTAACTGTGCTCACTGTGCCCCAAACACGTAGTGGGGGGACACGCCTTTCCTCGGGAAGCAACACAGGTCTGACGGTCCATGGCGGCAGCAAAGGCCCACCCGCACACCCAGCCTGGCCAGACGTCCGCCGGGCGGTCCCTCAGGCCCCGGGCCATACCCACTGTGCCGGCCTCCTTGCGGAGGGCCTCCCCACGCCTCCTGTTCTCCAGGTGCAGGTCCGCCAGCTGGGCTCCAAGCTTGGCAGCGTGACTGTGGGACCAAAGGCAGCCACTCAGCGCATGACACAAACAGGGACACCCTCCATCTGGAAGGTCTCGGGCACACCAAGTGGTGAGGCACTGGGGACACAAAGTTTGTCCTGGTGAAGCAAGGGGGAGATGGAGGGCCCCATCTGAGCCAGTAGCCGGGTCCCCAGTCATGTCTCACCTGGAGGGTCCTTTCCTGTTTGCCTTTGGCTCGATCACATCCCTCAAAATTATACCCCCAAATGCAAGCTCTCCACTTGGGAAAACAGAGCCCCCAGGGAGGCGCCAAGACGCACCTACTCAGGCTCTGCATGTCCAGATGCTCCATCACCAGCACGCTGCCACCCCCCGGGGCCTCCAGGACCTTGATGGGCTTGGGCACCCTCACTGTGCCCGTCTCCAGGATGGCAGTCAGACTCGCCATCTCCCCCTCAAACATTCTTCTGGCCTGTCAGAGAAATAACAGAGGACAGAGAACAAGGTCTCTTCCAGAAAAGTCCTCTCAGCATCGCAACCGTAAACCAAGGCTTCCCGGCTGCTGACTTACTGGGCACGGACGGCTCGTCTGCCTTCCGCAGCACAGACTCTCGTTCTGAAGCCGTATGGGAATTAGAATGTTCAATAGTGTATGTTTCTACGCTATCACTGGTTCCGGTCTCCCCAGAGGGAGGAGAGTGTGCTGGCTCAGAGCTGGACTGTTTCTGGGTCGCCCTCAGACAGCACCTCCACCACAGTGCTGTCCCACCTGGGACCTCATCTGCCAGGAACCTGGAGTCACTTCTCACCCAAATGGACCATCAAGTCCCATGGCATGTCCTCGATGGACCCAGCTGGAGCCACCTCACCTCGACCACATTCTCAGCTTCTAGTCCGAAAGTCCTTGTTCCCCTGCACGGGAGCAACCATTCTCCACCTGGTCTCTGCTTGACATACCCGAGTGATACTTTTGGAAGGCAAATTCCACCATGCAACACACCCGAGCTGGCGGCCCTGCCCACTTCGCCGTGTAACCGCCCCACAGCTTCTGGTTCCAGCCCATTTTCCTCTGCTGTCTGGGCCTCCTGGGCCCCTCCCCAACACTGACAGAAGCACACACGCCCTACAAGTTCCCCTTCATTCCCCAAAGACCCCCTGCCTGCTCCCACCTAGCCGCCTCCACATGCCATGTCACCTCCGCTTAGAACACTCTTCCTCCTTCTTTTGCCAAGTCAGCCCCTGCCCAGTCGGGCTTCAGATTCCAACTTAACATCAGCTTTGATTTCTCAGAGAAATCTTCCCTAACTCACCAAGCTAGGTAATTCCTCCCTTTAAAATATTTTTTTTTCAAATAAAAATGCTACAGAAGTACATGAAAAAAAACCCACACAACTAAGCAGCATCCAGAATTCCAGTTCTCCCACAGTCAGCACGCCCGCAGGACTGCCAGCCAGATTAGGACGGCCACCACTGCCCGGAGGCTCCCCAGCCCCCAGGCGCTGCCGGTGCCCCCAACGGCGGGGCTATCTGTCTGCTCATCATTGGCACAGAGGCAGATGGCCAGGCCTGCCTGGTCCACGCCACACCAGCAGCCACTGCTTCTCACCGCTGCCCGAAGCCCCACTGTGTGAACATCCCAACCAAATCCATCCAATCGGCTGGGCCTCCAGTTTGGGGTCACTACAAACAGTGCTGCCACGGGCATTCTACATCACAGTTACTAACCCTGTAACCCTGGCTTCCTCATCTGTAAGATGGGTTAGCAGTAGTACCTGTCTCACAGGCTGGCCGCCATAATTAACTCAGCTAGCGGCTAACACCTACCTACACAGTTGTTCTGAACACTCCACAGGTATTATTACTACACTACCCTGGAGAGCTAGAGTTGCTGAGAAACAAGATGTCGTTTTTTTTTAAATGTAGGTACTGGGGATTGAACTGAGGACCTTGTGCATGCTAAGTATACACTCTACCACTGAGCTACACCCTCCCCCCAAGAACCGTGTCTTAAGGAGAATTTTTCAGAGCATTCTCTTTAGAAGACAAAGAAACACACTGGGCCCTGGCTGTACTTTGTACTAAAGCACTGGTTGAGCAGCGTAAAGTAAGGGATAGAATTTTTTAAACTTTTTAATTAAAAAAAAGAACATGTGGGGAGAGGTGAAGGAGGATCTGTGCACCCAGGCAGAGGCAAGGCTCCCTCACGGTGATTTGCACAGGTCCAGAGCATCTAACTAGACCCAAGAACACTGCTCCTCAGTCGTCACCATCACTGGGGGTGCAGGCTGCAAAAGATCCAGACCCTGAGGGAGGAATGTGTGAGAAAACACAGCCTGCAAAGGACAGATGAGTGAAATCAGGAGGAAAAACAATGCAGATCAGGCCACTGAAGCAGAGAGTGAGGTAGAAACAGAAGACCAGGTGGTTCTCTTACAAGCAGGGAAGGGGACATTCTCGCCTCCTAGGAGGTAAAGCAGGAACAGTCCTATCTTCCCTACGACTGGCAAATGTTTATGCCGTGGCTGGTGCATCTGCACAACTCACACAGCATGTTTCAGAGCCAACTAGAAAAAGACATGGTTGAAACTGTCTACCAGAGGAGTAGAAGGAACTTCTGTGATGATTAACAAAAAGGAAATGGACTTTGGTGACAAAATAAAAAGCAAGAACCCGAGGGAACAGCAGCAGAAGAACAACGTTTAAAAGGCATCACTGAGTAGTTCCATTTAATCATTAGAAAATATCTGCTTCCCTATAATCTACACCAAGTTTTTACTATTACAAATGCTGATCAGAGTGGAAACACAAACATGAAAAGGACTAACGCCACAGAGAGGAAAAGAATCCAGAGGAGGCCTGCGGTGGGAAGGAAGGAAGGAAGGAAGGAAGGACGCCACCACTGCATGAGCACTGCTGGGGGGAAGTCGGTTTAAAGAGCGACTTCAAGGACCACTAGCTGCCACATTCCTACAGAGGGACGTGCAGGGTGACACAGCAGCCCATTTCTGTAGAACAAAGGTTAACTTTGGTCCTGAGAGAACAGTAGGGTTTCAGAAAGAGATCATCCCACACCACAGAAGGTGGAATTCATTTCTGGGAAGGAAATGAAAATACCTGCAAGAGGATTTCCAAAAAGGAGACAAGAGCACCGAGCACCGAGGCCACCCTGGGCCTCCCAGCTGACAGTCCGGAGTGGGCCACCAGAACTGGATGAAGAAGTGACATCAACACCCAGGAGTAAGCATTTCAGCAGGGAGGCTCACTCAAGTTCTACAGGAGCCCTTGAGAAAACGTTTAGATACAGAAGGGGGGCGTGGCTGACACCGACGCAGTGTGTTGCGCCCCCCCCAAATCATAGGGTGAAACCTAACCCCCAGAGCCACAATGTTCGGAGGCTGGGCCTTAGGACGTGACTTGGCTGTAGGGGTGGAGCCCTCATGTGGGGATTAGAGCCCCTGTGCGACCTCAGAGAGCTCTCTTGCCCCTCGGCCAGTGAGGACTTGGGGAGACGTAGCCTCTGCATCTGTCCAGCCTCCAGACTCCGAGAAAGACATGTTTGTGTTCTAAGCCTCCCGGTCTGTGCTGTCCTGTTACAGCAGCCCCAGCGGACCAAGTCGTGGCTAGATAACTTTAATATTCAGAAACGGTTTTGATCTCTGAAAATTCAAATAACCCCCAGGACAACAGGCTGCTACCACCTGTCCTTGTTCAAAACTCGCCAAGCAGAATGGACTTTCTCGAAGGAGCGGGCACATGGAATGCGGGAAAGCCGTCCGCAGCACCTACGCGGCAGCGAGTCACGAGGCAGACAGGACCCGCGCTGACCTGGCACAGGGCGGAGCTGCGGTCCCAGAAAAATGCCAGGCCAGCCCGACGACGAGACGG